TTGAAAAATAAATCGTGCGGAGAATTTAGCCTTGGTTTCTTGCACCAAAGTGGCAGGAGCAGGTGTGTGGCACAGGGGATGAAGGACAGGCATCCCTTGGGGTCCTAATTCATTTCACACATTTAAACATGTGATTCTGGGAAGATATCTGTAGGGTTTTACCTGACTGCCCTGAGCACCTTTTTGTCACTTCCTGGCCTCTCCTCCACAAACACCCCCACCCCTCGCCTTCTTCTGCAGGAATGCCACCGGGTGCCATCTGCCTTCTGCACATGTGTATGCCAAAGAACGTGCCTGGCAACAGAAAGGGCGGGAGTTTTTAAATCAGGCAGGTGGAGAAGCCCCTCCCCTTTCTGGTTCCGTGTAAGGGAGCTAGCCGTTTATGTTTGTTTTAGCTGCAGTGTTTCTATCAGCTGGAGTGAACAGTACCTGCTTGCCTCCTGGCGTGATAGTGAAGGTTAAGCGAGGTAATGCACACCTTGTGAGCATGCTGCAAGTGTTCAGAAATCACAGCTCTCCTTGCCATCCTTGTTGTAGCCCTCTCTGCATTCATGCGCCAATGGGTTCCCGCCCTTCCCTTGCTGTAACCGTTCCTGAAACCTTACATGATCTAGGACCCTGGAGCTTTGGGTCGGTCAGGGCGGACAGCTTATTAATATGCATCTTCAGAAACCCCAAGGTCCTTCTGAGTCTCTTTGCCTTCCTTCCCCCTCCCCCCAAATCTTCTTCACAAGGCATATTTAAATTTCCTGGCTGGTAGCATTTTCTTCTGAATCGCCTCTTGGAACGAATGCATCATTTCCCAGGGCTGTTGCTCAGGACACTCCGTGTTTGGTTCCCTCGTGGGTCTCGAGGACAGCAGTGTCAGTCAGTTGCAGGTGTCTGCGGGGCCTCACGGGAGGATCTGCCACCTGTTCCAGCTGCAGGTGGCTGCCGGCCACCACCTTGTCCCTGGGCTCTGCCCCCCACCTCCCACCCCACCGCTGCTCTCCTGGCTTTCCTCCTTTTGTGCTGGTCTGTGTCTACTTCTCTCTTAGTGTACAAGGACCCCAGCTGTTGAGTTAGGGACCACCTGATCCAGGGTGACTGCATTTTCACCTGATTACAACTGCAAAGACCCAGTCTCCAAATAAAACCATACTCATGGGTACCCCAGGCAAAGATTTCCTCCTGTTTTTACCAGTGAACACAATTTACCCCGTAACACTTGCGCTTTGCTCCTTTATACGGACTGTAGGTCAGGCTTCTGAGTGCATAGATGGGAAATCCAATTATTTATATGAACTTTTTTCTTTTCTTCCTCCTTGGGTAAATTATCTGCTTGTCTATGTTTTGTTTTGTTTTTTAAATGGCTTGAAGGGTCTAACCAGGGATGTCTAGTCTCTCCTGGCTCCCTATTTTTGTAAAATGAACAAAGAAATCTCCTAGAGGAAGAAAATCGGCCATACTGACCAGGGAAAAGTGCCCGAACACACCCAGAAAATCAAGAGTTAAAGAAACCAGTGACTCCACCAAAAAGTCTGTTTACAAACGTTTATGACTTGGGTGTGAATTAGCCACTGAAGTTCCCAGAGCCCAGAGTGGCCTGGAGCCAAGATTGCTGGGTTGGACGAGGTTGGGGCTCCGGGATGGCCACGCAGGGCCCTGACTGTGGGGTTTGAAAGGCAGGGGAGACTCCTGAGAGCAATGGACATGGTGCACTGCCTGTTCCTGCAGTGTGTCTGTGGGGCGCCGCTGCCCGTGGCCGAGTCCCAGGTAGGTTCAACACGGAGTGGAGGCTGACTATGTGTATATGGGGGCGGGGGCGGGCAGTGTGTGAAGGTCAAGAGAACCACAGACAGTAGTTGAAGTTTTTCCCCCAAAACCTTAGTTTCAGGATATCCGTTCAGGTTTATTTGATAAACGGGCTAACTCCCTTCTTCTGCTGGAGTAGCTGATCATCCAAAGGGTCCCCTGCCCTCACCCCCTCCTGCCTTTTCCCTCTCTCTCTGCTTTCACAAAGAATGAAATGGACGTTTCAGCTCTCAGGATTTCCCTGTCAAGTGAGTTTTGTAATCCTTAGATCATTCAGGGCTCTTTATGGAAGGTGTTTTCTCCTTGCGTGTCCTTGGCAGGACTCTGTAAATACGGAACTTGGAGGTTTGGCAGGTGTTCCGGGGCAGGGGCAGTCGCTGATGCTGAGGCCTGATGTGTTACAGGACTGGTTCCCTGCTTGGTCCCCAGCTGCGTGTGGCTTCTCTGGGGGGCATACCTACCTTACCCAGCCTGGGTCGCCTCTGGGGTACTTCCGCATTTCAGCATCAGCTGGTAGGGGGAGGGGGAAGCAAGCTACAGGTTGTATAATGGCAAAAAGGAAAAAGAAATGAAAAGCAAATCACTGTGTCTAAGTCTGCGAGCAGTTAGACTCCCCCCCGCTTGTCATTTTGCTGTGCTTGTTCTAGCACGCTGCTTCTGGACCTCCATGCATTCTGATCGTAGAAACCAAAGTTTTCTCACCGTGTACTCAAGTTGTCTGTGCTATTTGATGTAACCACTTATTTAAGTCATCTGTAATAATCTGTTTCACAGGTAGTGTAGAAAATATGAAGTGTTCTATGATTTGCTGCTTTACCATGGAGGTACAGTTCTTGGGGAGCTGTGATAACTGAAAAATGACAATTAGCAAAGGAAAAGACAAGTTTGTGTGTGTGTGTGTGAGAGAGAGAGAGAGAGTGAGTGTGTGTGTGTGTGTGTGTGTGTGTGTGTGTCCACAGGCAGTGTGACTCAAAACATAGAATTTGAGGGTTGTGTACCATCTTCTTAGTGGAAGGGACAGCAGAGAAGGGAACTTAGAACTTTCAGGGCAGGTAAATGAATGGGGCTTAGGGGAGGAAGTGAAGATGGGGGAGCTTTGCCTTAGTGTTCCCCAAGGGCCCCTCCTCTCCTCCTGGCCCCAGGAAACTCCCAGGAGAGGATTCAGGATGGTGGAGATCTTGGAAGGCCCTGCTTCTAGGCAGATAGCCGAGTTCAGAGGGTATGCGGACAAAGCTTGTTCTCAAGTGCTTCAGCTCAAAAGAATTTGCGTATCACAGAGACATACTGCAGGCTCCTTCAGGCCCTGGCAATTGGTAGATAAGATGGCAGGGTGAGTGGAGGTTTCTGGGGCCTCACCAGGGTTTGTGTGTGTGCTGGGGGCAGCTCTGAACTGCCACCGGCAGGCCAGCTGTCTCCAGTCGCTGTCACCAGCAACTGGCTGTGTCTCCCTAGGCAAGTTAGTTAGCTCTCTTCTTCAGGACGTCGTCTTCTTAGTTTGAAAAATGAGTGGATTGGAGCAGAATGTCTTTAAATCTCTCCCACTTCCTTGTGTCTTAATCAGCTTTTATCATGTTCCCTAGTGTTCACGGGGCTTGGTTCCAGGGTCCCTGGGGATACCAGTCCTTGGTTACTTGTCCCTCATGTAAACTTACAGCCTTCTATACACACTATACGGCTTACGGCACCTCTCGATTACTTATGCTACCTAGCCCTGTGTGAGTAGTTGGCTTTTTATATTGGTTGGAGAAATAAAGACAAGAAAACAGTCTATGTTCAATAGTTATTTTTTCCAAATATTTTCCAATTTTTACTTAATTTACTTCGATGTGTTTTTGTTGAGACATCTGAGTTCTCTGGATAGCTTTGATCCACACATGCGGAACTCGTGGATGTGGAATGCTGGCTTAGGGAATGATTGAACACATAGGACTGGAAATCAGAAAGCTGAGTTGCAGATCTCTGTTATGGACAGGAGGCGTGGCTTCTCGGGCCTTGGCCACGCCCAGCCAGGGCCACCTGCAGGTGCCCTTCCTGCCTGTCCTGCCGCTGTACACATTCTGTCTCCATGGTTATCCTGATTGTCCTTCCTGTACCTGTGGCCTGACAACTTTTTGTTTTGTTTGTTTATATTGTTAAATCAGGAATGAGGGGAGGAACTGCAACCACCCAGACTGCCTCTCCGGCGCCTTGCTGTGCCTGTGACGGCCTCTGGTGCCACGGGTCTCTGTACTTTCCTGTGGGAACTGATAACTCAAGCCGGGGCTCCCACGCGGATGGCAGGAACCCAGCCCCGGCTCCCCTGGCCCAGTCTTTTGAAAGTGGAAATGAACCTCAGCTATCATACCTTTGCTGTGATTGCACTGTACTTAGACAAGCCTGTCCCCAACCTGAACAGCTGCAGAACCAAGGCACAGGATGTAAGCCACTTGCCTGGGGCTACAGAGCTAGCTTAGGGCTGGGACGCACAAGTCTGCCCCATTCTAAGCCTCAGGATTGGCCATCGTGTTGCCTCTGAGATTATTTGAAAAAACGAGACAATTTGCCTCGTGTAGGATCATCATACACTCTTGGGCTGTGGGATTGTTCGGTGCAAAATCCGGGACCCAGGGAGGTGAGCTGTGCCTTGCCCAAGCTCCTGCAGCCAGTGGGAAGCCGGAGCTGTCTGAACCCTAGCCCATTGCTCAACCCCATCACATTGCTGCTTCAAGGCTGTCTGCTCAAGCCCCAGGTCCCAGCTTCGCATTGTTGGGTCCTATAGCTCTGGACTTAATCTGCTTAAGGTGCCTTCTATTTTTAAGTTGTACACAGTATTGAAAGAAGACACCTCGGTGCAGCGATGGGTAGCATTACACGTTGATTCTTTCTCCTGGCAGGCCTGCTGGCCCTGCAAGCTATGGTTATGCGTTTGGAGGGAGATGCCGCCCGTAGCTGCAAGCTCATTTGATTAACTCACTTACTTTCCCATCAGCTTTTATTGACGCGCATCATCGTCACTCACCAGTTGCCATAATTTATGATTTTAACTCAGCCCGAAATGGTTACGTTGGTCCATTATGTTGTTTGTGCCTTGGCTTTCTATTACACAAATAACTGCTGTAAATAAAAAAAGGAAATAGAGAAAGCCAAGGAGGGGGATGGGGGGATCTGTTCTTTGCTGATACCTTCCTAGATATTGGAGCTCACCTAACTTGTTCGCCTTTGAAAAGGTTGTTACTGATGACAGCTGGAGGCGAGGTTCATCCCAGGATGAGGAAAAGCCGGATGCTCAGAGAGTCCCCCGGCGGCGCTGGGGCTCCGGGAGGCGCTCCCGGCCGAGGCCGCTCTCCGACTATGGCCAGCTGGCCAGCCGAAGCTCGTCCATCCCCGAAGACGCGGTCGCTGCGAGCCCCCAGGGTGAGGACTGTGTGGATGGGGACGGCGCAGCCAGCGTGACCTCCTCCAGGCCTGCAGACCAGAGCGCTCCAGCGGCCCACGCCAAGGGCGCCCGGAGAAGGCGCCCCATTTCCGTGATAGGAGGGGTCAGCTTCTATGGGAACAACCAGACAGAGGAAATCGAGAATCTTCTCACACAAGTAAGACCTGGTGGGCTCCCACCAGCGAGCCCCTCCAGCTTCCTGGGCTTTGTTCTCCTGCCACGCGCGCTAAACAGGAAGCTGCCTTTGCTTTTTTCTCCCTTCCTGGAGGATGACGCGCTCACGCCGCTGCTCACAGCCTCTTCTGTCTGACCTGAAACACGTGCCTGTCTGCAGACTAACTCCTCACATCTGGACCCCTCTTACTAATCTCTCTTGCCTGGGATCTCCAATGGGTGAATCTAGTTTGCTGCTTGTTCCTCAACTCTCCCAGGTCTTAACCTGGGGGAGGTGAGAAGGGTATCTCTCATGAGCTTCCTGGAAAGGAAAAAAAAAAATCTTTAAAAAGAAAGTACTGTCCATCATTGTTAAAATGTAAAGAAAAGGAAAAAGAAAGGGGGAAAGCGACTATTTTGGGGGGACTATGTTTTTGAGTTGCATCTTTGCAGCTGGTTTGACAGTAAACACTTACTATTGATCCCTCGGTATATTTTAGTTGTTCAACAAGGACTTATTCCTCTGCAGTTGGAGGAAACAAACCACTTAATTTTAAATGGTCTGTCCCGGAGACGTTGGTGCTAACACCCTGGCCGCAGGCAGATGTTCACAGAGCAGCATTCGGGAAGTATGTGTGCTCTGTTGAATTTTTCAATCCTGCTGGCTGGTGCTGTATATTCCCTTAAAAGGGGCAGCCTTGTATGAGCCTGGGATGGCATGCATCCCCTTTCCCCATGAGCCCCAACACGATGCCTTGTCCATAGCAAGCATTCAACAACTCTCATTCAATTCCACTGCGTTTGCATTTTTAAAGTAAAAACAGATGAAGTTGAAGACACCATGCAATCTTCAGGAATATTGGAAGATTCTGCTACCTGCTAGGACATAATTCAGAACTAAAACAAAATGCAATCTAGTGTTATGACACAGTGGAGGGAAGACCTAAAGCAGTTTGAAATTACTTCTCCGTGCTGTTCCCTTATTGGGGGAGTTGGATTTTAAAGTCCCAAGGAAACCCAGAACCAAATGAACCTGGAAGCTGAGTGCTAAAGATACAGTTATATGGACAATCAGAAGGGTATCATCCACAATCCTGGGGCAGTATGTGAGCAGCCAGCTCTTTTAGGTGGAGCTCAGCTGTTAGTTTAGGCAAGTAGAAACTGTTCCCCCACGTGGCGGTGGAGGCTCTGCAGGGGTGGGTGAAAAGAGGGTGAGGGTGCACCTGTCAGCCTGGCTGGGACTTGGCTGTGCCCCTGCTTCCTTCCAGAGGCTGCTCCAGGGGGGTGGGCGGGCCTGCCCATCGGACCCTGTGTGGGTGTGAGAGCAGTTCCCCTTCCCAAGCTGAGCCCCCTTCCTTGGGATGCCGTGCCCTCCCCAAGTGCTGCCTGTTGCTGACAAGCGATGCTGGAGGCACGAGCCGCTGTGTAGATTACCATCGCTAACAGCTGCCCAAGCCTCAGCACGCTCACAGCTCTCGGCAGGATCTGGAGAAACTGTGTCACAACTATGAGTGGCTCCGAGGTGAGAATGTTGCGAGTGTGATGCTTGCAGGAGCTGTGACTTCCTGGCGCCTCCTCACAACCGTTTGCTTTGCTTTTGCAGCCAACAGCCAGGCCGCCGGTGCCTACGCATCAGGTGCCGCCCTACAAGGCCGTGTCGGCCCGGCTCCGGCCCTTCGCCTTTTCCCAGAGCACCCCCATCGGACTGGACCGCGTGGGACGCCGGCGGCAGATGCGAGCGTCCAACAGTGAGTCTCACAGGGCCCTTGCCCTTGCAGAAACTACAGGAGACGTCTGAGTGGCCATTGCCAGGTAGCCTGAGGCACACAGAGGCTCCCACAGCTTTCTGCCTCTTGACAGGCCAAGGGCCGGACTGTGGGAGGAAGGTACCATCAGGGGTGGGTGCGCGGAGGAGTCTGACAAGTTGGCTGCTCTTGTGTCTACACGCCCAACTTCCTGCAGGTGGAGAGCCAAGCCTGACCAGAACTCTGAGATGGCAGTGTCGCAGGGCTGTTCCTCTTTCTGTTCTAGGCCTCCCTTTCCTCCTGGCAGGCTCGGGCATATTTGGTTAGCGGATGTATTTTCCGGATCTCTGTTTTGCTTTTTGTACATTTAAAACAAAACAAAAAAAGATTTATTTACTTGAAAATCGAAGGAAAGCCAGACTAAGATCCGCTGGTTCACTCCCCAGATGACCACAAGGGACAGTGGTGTCAGCAGGGTTATGAGAGAATAGAGAGCCTCTCCAGGCTCACACACATGCAGATGGCTCCATGTTGTGCTTTCTGGAACATTGTTTTGTTTTTAATAAATAAATATATATATGGAATATATATATAAAACATATATAAAACATGTATATAATTTTTAATTTGGGGGTTCTTTTGTTGACAAACAGCAAACTGTCTCTGCCTAGAGAATGGTTTGGAAGGGTGTTGGGTGTTCCCAGAGCGGATAAGGTGGCTGCCAAGCCAAGTTGGGACAGTATAGCGGTCAGGACTGCTCTTAGGGGCTGAGAAGGAGATTTGTGTGGAGGACTGGCCGTGAGGACGAGAGAAGGCCAGCACTCCCCCACGAGTCTGAGGCCCAGGACAGAGGCGCTTAGGTGCATCTCTGCCGCCTCTTGGATCTGGAACACAGAGAAGGAGTCCGTGTTTGGAAGCAGGTGCATGAGCTCATGTGGCTGAGTGCAGTGGAGTGTAGGTTGTTCTCCCAAAAGAAACCCAGGTGGTCTTGGGAAAGAACAGAGGGCTGGATGTGTGGCACAGTGGTGAAATCATCGCTCGAGACTCTTGCGTCTCATATGGCTCAGGACCAACCACAGCGATGACAGAGGGAAATGCAGCCTCAAAAATGATTCCTTGATGGGGTGGGAACGTCGCTGCTTGCGGTGCCCACATCCCAAGTGGAGTGCCCGCTTCCAGTCCTGGCTCCCCTGCTTCTGGTCCAGCTTCATGCTAATGTGCACCCTGGGGGGCAGCAGATGGTGTCTCTCCCACCCCACATAGCAGACCCAGGCTGTGTTCCAGGTGGTGGGCCGAACTCCGGCTGTTGCAGACGTTGGAGGAGTGAAGCAGCTGATGGAGGATCTCTGTGGCTCTATCTTTTTGAAGCAATGATAAGGAAATAAACAAAATGGAGAAATAGATTCTGTGTGGGTTCTGCATGTCTGTGTGTTCTTATTGGAGAGACACAACCCCTATTTTGTCAGTAAAGTAGGCAACTCCATGTCTAGATTCTCTGCCTGGTAAGTCGCCTCTGGCCCACACAGTGCCTTACTGTGCTGACAACCAGAGGTGTGTCTGAGCCAGTGATGGGGAAAGGGAAAAGGACGGACAAGGAAGACAAGTAAAATCCTATGCGCTTGTAGGCACCATTCTGAAGGGAATCCTCTCTTTGACTTCTGGTGGCAAGGCCATGGATGCTGGTCTGCTATTCAGCTTAGCATCCCTCGCTGTGGGGCCAAGCCTTTGAGGGTGCTGAAGCTAATTTCCACTTAGAGCATGTTGTTTTCTCTCTGCTTATGGCATTCACGTTGCCTGATCCTCTGGCCTCTTCCACAGCCTTCCCTGACAGGGATCTTTGCTAGCTGAGCAGCACAAATCTTCATTCTGTAGGTTTCTGAGCTGCTCCTGGTCTTACTTGCTGACATAGCCATAGATGCCTTTCTAGTAGTCAAAAATCAAGCTGCAAAAATGAGTGGAGCAACAGCTGTGAACCCAGACTAGTTCCACACCCAAAGACTGAAATACTGGGACAGTTGGGCCAGCGCTGTGGCACAGAGGGTGCAGTCTTTGCCTGTGACCCTGACATCCCATGTAAGCGTTCAAGTCCTGGTTGCGCTGTTTCTAATCCAGTTCCCTGCTAGTGAGTCTGGGAATACAGTGGAAGTTGGCCCAAATGCTGAGTGAGGTTCCTGCCACTCAAGTGGGAGACCTGGATAAAGTTCCTGTTTCCTGGCTTCAGCCTCACCCAGCCAAAATGGCTGCAGGCTTTTGGGGAGTGAACCAGTAGGTGGAAGATCTCTCTCTCCCTCCCTATAACTCTGCCTTTCAAATAAACAAAGTAAATCTTTAGAGGGGAAAAAAAGGGGAAGGAAATATTGGAGAAAAAAAAATGCCTCTGTACTAAACATACAGACTTTTTTTTTTGGGTTCGTCATTTCCTAAGTAAGATCATCTGCTATTTCTGTGGTGTTATTAGGTGTTATGGGTAACTGAGAGATTAAAGGCTACAAAAGGATATATGCAAGTTCTATGTGAGTAATGTTCCATTAAAAAATTACTTAAGAGAAGGAGCTTGCATTCACTGGTTCACTCCTTAAAATCTTGTGATATCTAGTGCCAGGCTGGACAAGGCAGATTGCCCCCACGGGTGGCAGAGACCCAGTGACTTAAGCTGACCCTGCTGTTTGCCAGGGTCAGTATTAGCAGGAAGCTGGGACTGGGAGCTGGAGTCAGTGCTGAGCCGAGGTCCTCCGGTAGGAGGTACAGACGTCTTCCCTATTAAGCCAAGTCCTGCTATCACAATACCGTTTTATGGAAGGGACTTGAGCATGCTCAGACTTTGGTACCTTGAAGGAGTTCAGGAACCAATCCTTGAAGGCCCCAAGAGACCATTATACCTTCCAGCATTTGAACAGATTCTGCAGGTCCATACTTAGGATTATCTAAGGCACCAGTGATGGTCTAAAGGAGCTGAACGTGGGTAAGGTGGTAGAGAGTGTAGGAGGAAGGAGCAGGCAGCTTGTCCAAGGTTTGTCGAGTGCACACTTGAAAGATGAGTAGGAGGCAATGAGGCAGAGATCCGGGGGAGGAGAAGTGTCCGTGGGAGGAACATGTCTGATGCCCCAAGACTGGCAGGAACTCATTGTGTCTCTGAGGTTCAGCGAGGAGGCCAGAGGGCCCGAAAGGAAGGGATCAATTAGGAGCGGTCTGGAAGGCAGCCTGTGGCTGGACAGAAAGGACGTGGCAGGTCAGCAGGAGGAGCTGGGGTTATTCTAAGTGCAGCGGGAAACCATTGGTAGCTGCAGGTGATTTGTTCTGATTCATGCTTCAGAGAGGATAGACGGGGTTGGGGACCAAGGCAGAGGAAGGGAGATGAACTTGTGGGCTTGCGTGCGTCCAGCTAAGAAGAAACAGTGGTGGCCATAACCACAAAAAGCCACCCACGTTTTGCTTGGACACTCATTTATTTCCCCAGTGGCAGGAGGAGGCTAAAATTGCCAAATGCTGTTCTAATTCAGGGCGCCCAGGCTGTGGGCCCCGGCGTAAGTACTTCCCCCTTGGGGGACTAAATGCAGTTTTGACAGAGTAGAGTTTCTGGCTGGAAAGGCAAGATGTTGCAAGAGTGTCATGCAGCCACGACCATGTTGACAGATGGTTTCAGGAGCTGGGCACTGTGGGAGTGGGTGAGCATCGGCAGTGATGCCCATCCAGGCAGCATGACTGCCAGGGGTGACTCGAAGCAGCCTCCACAGTTTCCTTGTCATGAGTCCCTGGACCATGGCATCCTGGGGCTGAGTGGTGTTATGTGACACGCCGTATCAGTCCCTGCGCTGACAGTAAGCTCCGGAGTGGCCTGACAGCTAAGGAAACCAAGACCAGCCTGAGTGGTTGTTCCAGGAAGGACCAAGCCTGGCCCCCTGTGTTATGAAAAGGCCCATTGTAATCAGCTTTCCACAAGTAGCTGTCTAGTTCCTTCACGGAACCCTATCATTAACTTTGTTTGAGGGGAAAGCCCTGTGTTTAGCCCAGATTCAGTGTCCATTTACCACTATGGAATTGCAGGTTTTGTTCTGTGTTTGTTCTGTGTTTTCTTTTTGTGTGTGTGTGTGTATTTTTGTGATCCTACTGTGTAAACATTCAGACAACAAGCATGAGGCTGGTGCCATGGCACAGGAGGTGAAACCTCCACATTCGACACCAGCATCCCATGTAGGTGTCAGCTTGAGTCCCAGCTGTTCCACTTCCCATCCAGCTCTCTGCTGATGGCCAGTGTTGTGGTGCAGTGGGTTAAACCACTGCTTGAGATCATAGCATTCCCTATCAGAGAGCTGGTTCCAGTCCCAGCTACTTCACTTCTGATCCAGCTTCTTCCTGCTAATGGGCCTGGGAAGGCAGTGACGAATGGCCTAAATCCTTGGACCGCTACGCCCACCGGGAGACCCAGAAGTTCCTGGTTCCTGGCTTCAGATTGGCCCAGCTCCAGCCATTGAAGCTATTTGAGAAGTAAACCTGCAAATGAAAGACACCTCTCTCTCTCTCTCTCTGTGTCCTCTCTTTACAACTCTACCTTTTAAATAAATTTTTTAAAAATTTCAAAAAAAGATGACAAGCATAGAAGATTGAACACAATGTTTACAGCATTATTTTTTAAAAATATATTATTTACTTATTCAAAAGACAGTGACAAAGAGGTCTTCCATTTGCTGATTCACTCCCCTAAATGGCAGCAGAAGCCAAGACTGGGCCAGCCCAAAGTCAAGAAACAAGGAACTCTGTCTAGGTCCCCTGTGTGGGGTGGCAGGGCCCAAGTGTTAGGCCCTATTCCTCTGCCTTCCCAGGCCCATTGGCAGGAAGAAGCTGGATCAGAAGTAGGCAGCTGGGACTTGAACCAGCTCTGTTATAGGGGATGCCATCACCACGAATAGTGGCTTAACTCTGCACCACAACATTGGCCACTCTGATGGATTATTAAACAGTGTCTCTTTTTTAAAGATTTATTTATTTTTATTGGAAAGTGGGAT